TCTTGTTTCAATAGATCTAGTTCGGATTTAGTATTTCCCATTGTTTTTTATATGATACGGATATGTTCAAAAGTTCGAAGTCACACGATTTTGATCGTTCCCTGGGAAACGGTTTTTGATCACGATTAATATACACACATATTACACGAAAAAATTACTAGTGCGGGACAGATTTGTCTCGCAGATAACTTCTGCCAAGAAAAATTCCCGATCATATGCAAGTTAATATACATCGATATCAATACAATAAAATAAATTCACGAAATTCACACATACAAAAATAAACGCGATTATTTATGCAAATTCAGCCACCAGGACCAGCTTTATTAATATTTAAAATAAAAATAATTTTTCCTCACGGCCCGTCAGCGAGAAAATTTTTTTATTAATACATGCGAAAAATAAATACAAAGTTCGGGACGTAGCCCGTGATACATATTATTTTTTGATGTACTCGATAAAAAAAAATCACGAAATATCCACGAAAAAATAAACTGATTATTTATGTAAAATTGAGCCACCTGGTCAGCTTTATTATATAAAAAGAAATTACAAGATAAAAATATACATATTCTTAGAAATTTTTTATCTGATTTAGGAATTTCTTGGTGGAGAATATGTTGTTGACATCATCGATGTTGATGGAGTTCGCTCTTCACACGTTGGTAGAAGATTGATCTCATCTTTTATACTTACTGACATTCCGACAATCTCTTCAACAATAGCCCTTAACTTGAGACAACTCCTTAAAAATTCTTCAACAACCTGACGCGTAGAAATTCGTAAAGGTATAGTAATCTCGCAAATTCGATAAACCCGGTAAAAAACACCTTCAAATAAATCTAACATAGAAACGAATATACGTTCTCCTATCACCTGGATTCCTAAGACGGGAATTTTTTCTAATTCACAATATATTAACCTTGCCTCGGAAGAAGTGTCCTCTCTATTTTCAAAAAAAATATTATAACGTTCATCGAAACAATCCTTACAAATACGAACCAGCTTCTTCCAATCTAAAATTTCCTTATTTGGTTCTGGAAATAAGCGTGAAATCTCCACTAGAACCAACTCATTTGCCTCCATATCTAATTTCAATAAAACCTGGAGGTCGGGTTTCTTCCCTAAATTAATAGAACTCATCCGATTTTTTCTACTCTGTGAAGATTTGCTTGTCTGTTCGGACCATGCTCGTTTTAGATGCCATTTAGAGTATGTTAAAAGCGGATCCAGTACTTTGGATACCGCATGAATTACATAAGAATTCTCACTATAATCTTCTTCTGTTAGTAATGGCCTACAACTCCAAATGCGACGTCTGAAGTTAAAAAAATAGTAAGTTATAACCGATATGAGAATACTTGCGATTTCATATTAACTTACAATCCTTCTAATAAGTCAAAAGTTGTCATTAAAATGCGTCTAGTTGCGAGTGACATTTCTCCTTGGGGAAAGCTTATAGGTCGCATTAAAGCCAGATCGAAATCAGTTCTTAGTTCACTATATGAACTTACAAATTCATCCAACATTGCACCAATTTGATTGGGCAATTCATTATTATGGAATGAATGCCTTGATAAAATTTGTTTCGTTTTCAAAGTTAATAGCTTCGTAAATATGTCTTCATTCCCCGTAAGATCGATTACTCCCGATGCTATTGGCATCTCTGGTTCTATAGTTCCCAAATCTAAGTGTTGCAAAATGTTAAATAGTTCGGTATATACACTTAAGCTTTCTTTCGAGCATTCTCCATGTATTTTAGCATTCTAAATAATTAATCTTTTATTAGAAAGGCTAGCGATGTTAATATTTGAACCAAAATTCTAATATAATAATTACTTACACATCCACCCATTATAAAATTAATATTATTTCGAATTATAGTTAGATTTTGTTCTTGTTCCTCCGATTGACGCTAGAATAAAAATATTTTAGTTACTTCTTTTATATTAGTGGCTAATTTGCAGTAAAAAATTCATCATAATTTACGAACCTTTCCTTTTTCTACTCCCCAAGCATCTTTATAAATTTTTTGGCATTGTGACTGAAATAAAAAAAATATCTTAGTATACTAATCTTATAAATAAACACTTCCTATTATTTAATACTAAAAAATCAATTGGTGCTAAGTTTGTTCATTTTTCTTATTTTTTACAAGATTCATGCCCACGAATGACGACGAGGTACACGAAGGCATTGCCCGTATCATACCTAGTATAGGATAAACCTATACCGGACGACAAATCTCCTGCACTGTACCCTTCGATGCTTACAGTGCCAGCATTCTGTAAGCTAAGACATACGCTTAATTTTTGTTTGCGCACACCTGGATACAGACAGCAACATAGGCCTATGTTGTTTTCCTCCTACTCTCTTATATGTAATATTTCATCATCTTTTTCAGGAAATATATCTAATTATTTTTTATTACATACCTTGGGTATAGTATCAAATTGTAATAAAATATCTTCTAGTTTACGTTTATTTCTCGAACTGCTTCTATTACATAACTCTATACCTTCCTCAAGTTCACGACGATATTGATAGTTCGTGAGATAATTAATTTTTTGTGTCTGTTATTTTTTTGTCAAATTCGTCTCTTTTCTTAGCACCAGGCCCATATTACGAATTCTTGTAAAACGTTGTTGGTGCAATAAATTATAATACGGCGAAAGTGTAAATAATTGAAGAAGATAATTTTACCATGAATATAGTTACTATATATTAAAAAAAAAAGAAAAACCTTATTAGCAAAATTATAATCTATATACTACAAAATGG